AAGCAGAGAGAGGACAGGAGGTGGGAGGAGGGGCTGGGATCCCGATTTTCCATGGAGAACACACTCACAATGACCATTAGACTCGGCCTCTAAAGTTCCACTGCCTCCCCACAGTCCAGAGCTGGGGACTAACTCTAACACAGGGGGACTTGGGGGACATTTCATACTGAAGCCATAGCGCTATCATCACATTTTATGCCATTATTGTCATGTATTTGAATTTTAGTATATTTTTATACATCCAAATTAACTTATTCCAAGAACTTACAACTTGTTAATTCATACAGTCAATGGTTGTTTATCCATTTGATTAGGCTAATCATTCCTTCTTACATTTCTAATCTCTCAAGCTCAAAATCCTTAAAAAGGACCTGTAGTAACAGTGCATTGATGATATGTTTTGGTTTTGCCTGAAAAAATATTCTTATTTTACCCAGATTAAAAGTTAGCTTCCTGTAAAATTCCACTTTGGCAGTTATTTTCTCTTTGCACTTTGAGGCTGGTGTCTCATTGTCTCCAGGCATCACTGTCACTAAGAAGTCTGCTACTGTCAGTTAAATTGTCGTTTTACTGAAGAAAGGAAATCTGACTTTTCCAATGATCGTTTTCAAGATTCCTTTTACTTTCTTCTGAAATTCTGCTTCAGTGTCTCTAACTACTGAGATACCCTTTCCATGTCTCTAATTCATTATACACCCTCAGTCTAAGAACACCGGCTCTTATTTCTTTGAACATACCCACTTCTCCCCTGGTCTCCCCTTATTTGTAGAACTCAGATGTATTTTTGACTTTTGCCTTCTATCCTCTGTTTTATTTCTTGCCTTCCTTTTGTGTTTTCCATCTCCTGGATCTTTTTACGCTGCATTTTGGGTCATTTCTTTAGATCTTTCAGTTTATAGTTTTATATTAAGGCGTGTTTAATGTGCTCTTTACCTTACCATTGGGTTTTAAATTTCAAACATTAAAATTTTCATTTCTAGAGGTTCTTTAATAAACCTATTTGGTATTTGACAGTGCCATTTATTTCCTTTCCCATGTTTTCAGTTCAGTTTTTAAAATATCACTATTTTAACGACACTTAAAAATTTTTACCTGTGGCTTCTATTAACTGAAATTATTAGGGTTCTATTTCTGATGCCTATTTTCTCTATTCATGATGCTTGTTTCCTGTGTGTTTCAGTTTTAGAGCTGTGATTTTTGGCGGGGAGAGGTACCTGGGATTGAACCTAGGAGCATTAACCACTGAGCCACCTCCCCAGGATCATTTTTATTTTTTTATTTTGAGACAGGATCTCCCTAAGTTGCTGAGGCTGGCTTTGAACTTGCGATCTTTGGACTTGCCTCAGCCTCCCAAGCCCCTGGGATTACAGACAAGCACACCACACCTGTCATGAATTGTTTGATGGGACTTTTCTTCTGAGATGTCTGAGGAGTCTCTAGTGTTTCCCTGGAGAATGGATCTATTTCCTCCTTTCTAGCAACCTGGGTATAATTAACCTGGCATTATAGAAATCTATTATCTTGATTTGGGGTTTTCCTGATCATGCAGGTTGTGTAAATTCAAATCTTACATCTGTTTGAAGAAAATTAACATCACCCCTAAAAAAGATTCCCGTCCAGACAGAGAAGTCCCTCTTTTTCACTCTCTTTCCACGGCCCAGACTTTCCTTTCAGCCCATCATTTCAGGAAGGATATTACCTTCACCATCTGAATGAGTTTCACATCCGGCATGTGTGAGCTTGTGTGGGCTTAGAACCATGTCTTCTGTCCCCACAGGACTGCTACGTTCAGACCCTTCTGTAACCAAGATGGCCAAATGCCTCCAGGACAGTGTGGGAGAAGTGCCACCTAACAAGCTGGCTTTCACTTACCCCCTTATTGATGGCCCATGAGTACTTCACACTTTTTTGAAAGCTTGGCCAGGCATTTTGAGTATCTTTATGAAACTATTTCAACCTGTAGTTTTTTTTTGGTGTGTGTGTGGTGCTGGGGATTGAACCCAGGGCCTTGTACATGTGAGGCAAGCACCCTACCAACTAAGTCCCCAGCTCAGTTCTGGTGTTTTGTTGCAGAATTCCTAGGCTAATCAGCTGGCATGACGTGAAATATTGCATGAAACAACACTGCAGGTTTAAATATTTTAATATTTTCTCCTTTCAGTCTTTTGTTGAATTGATTCATGGTTTTGGAGACCTATGAACCACACAAACACATATATTTAAACTTTTGCAGTGTAAACATGAAGAGAAACATTTTTTGAATAAAATATTAGAGGGTTCATCTTTCTTCAGAGTCTCCTTTGATATTCAAGGAATATTCTTTTTGAAATGTATGTGTTGTCATCATTGTATTTTTTCTTTCTGTAGTTTTTTTTTTTTTTTTTGATGGGGAGGGGTTTAGGGCAGCGGCTGCTGCTGGGGCTTGAACCCAGGGCCTTCCATATGCTAAATATGCTCTTATTACATAGTTGCATATCCAGACCTATTTACATTTTATTTTGAGACAGGGTCTCACGCTACTAAGGAGGCTGAGGCCAGACTCAGCATCTTAGCAAGGCCGTGTCTCAAAATAAAAAATAAAAAGGATTGGGGGTTTAGGTCAGTGGTAGAACATCCCTGGGATCAATTCCTAGTACTGAAAGGAAAAAGAAAATGCTGAGGATAGTTGGAGAGGGAATGTTTGAGGATGCCTAATTCTATGAGGTACCCAGTTCACTAAGTGGTTTCCATGTCACGAGGATTATTGCTTTATTATAGGGCATAACCATGGCAGTGAGGCTAAATAATGCTCAGAAAATTAGGAAACCTTCTCTCCTTTAGTCACAAGGGCTTTCCTCCAAGCAGATGATCTCTTTCATTTAAATCACAATTTATGTCTATATTTGTCTTGTAGCTGCTAGTTACAAGGCAGCTCTGTAAGATCTACATCTTAAATCAATGTATCACACAGGTAATTATTCAAATGAGGAAAAAGTCAAACTTCTCTGGTAGTTGTTGGGAAAAAAATGTAAGCTTGACCAAAACTTCCATCTGTCATTTTGATTTTAGAGACATGAAAAGAGTTTGAGTAAAACAGATGTCCTCCATCAATTCCAAGAGGCGTATTTTTCTAGATTTTACCATTTCCAATATCAGGATGCATGTTAGAAGTCCGAAGTTACAATTATTATCAGTTTGTTTTAATTTTCTTAGCTATACGTGAAATACATCCTACAGTATCTGGTGTCCGAGGTTAGAATCTAGTCTAGAAACCTAATCTAGCAATGTACTATCAATGATTAGCTAAAATACTAAGCTGAGGGCTGGGGATGTGGCTCAAGTGGTAGCGCGTTCGCCTAGCATGCGTGCGGCCCGGGTTCGATCCTCAGCACCACATACCAACAAAGATGTTGTGTCCACCGAGAACTAAAAAATAAATATTAAAAAATTAAAAAAATAAATAAATAAAATACTAAGCTGAACCCATGGCAGTGCAGCACAAAGCTTTCAAGGGGATGCATTCCATCAGAGTAGAAATGCACATGTTGCTTATGGTGACCAGGCACTGTTTTTGGAGTTTTACTTCTTCATTTTATTTCTTACAAGTATCATTTTGACTTCATTTTCATTATTAGCTTCATTGTTAGGAGCAGGGCAGTGAAGCACAGAGTGGTCGAGTTGGTCAGCATGGGTGATTTAGTGTTTAATCACTTAAAGCGTTTATCTGCTGGAAAGCAACAAGTATTGTTGAAACATTTTATTAAAACATGCTAATTTTTAATAACTGTCAAACAGAAGTCTATTTGCAGAATGAGTAGTCAAAATAGTTTTCCTGAGGCCCTACCAGCAGCCCAAATAATGATCCCCTGCAAAAATATATGGAACCCATAAATATACGATCTTACATAGCAAAGGGACTTTGCTGATGTGGTTAAGGGTAGAGATCTGGAAGTGGGATTATTTTGGATTCAGGTGAGCTCTTAAAATCAAAGATTCTGGGCTGGGGATATAGCTCAATTGATAGAGTGCTTGCCTCGCATGCACAAGGCTCTGGGTTCAATCCCCAGCACCACAAGAAAAATAATAAATAAATAACCAAAGATTCTTTCTCAGCTGCAATGAACGGGTAGACGGAAACTGCTAAGGGCAAGCAAACAACATTTCCTAAATCCTCCAAAAAGGAATGCAGTCCTTTGATACTTAATTTTAACCTAAAGAGACCCTCATAGGACTTCTGACCTACAAAACTATAAGATAAGAAATGAGCGGTGAAAAAGTGGTGGTGATTGGTTGCAGCAGCAGCAGGAGCTGAACCCAGGAGTACTACACAGCACATGCAACCATTTCAGCACGTGCAGCAACTGTGTCTGGCTCACGCCAAGGCGTCTGGGCGCTGTCGGACGGACAGTAGCCCTGCGGACGAAGCTGGGTCTGGAGGTCCGCCGGCCCGCGCTCCCGGGTCCTGGGCTTGCAGACCAGCGGCGGCGTCCGCGGGAGAGGAGCGCCGAGAACGCAGCGGCATTCCTACGCCCGCCTTCTGTCGACGGCAAGAGTGGCCGCAGCTGCGATTCACCCGAAGGTGTCTCACCCGAGGTCGCGCGTCCTAGGATGCGGTCGCTGCCCCGCTCCTTACCAGGCCTGCCCCGACCCCAGTCCCCAAGCCTTTTCCAACTCCTTTCAGCAGCAAAAACCGGCTCAGCACGGAGAGCGACAGCAAACCACGCGATAGTTGCAGTTCCCGCGGGCTTTTCGGATCGGCGTCTCCTGGGGAGAGGACGTCCGGAGGTTGGCCCCGCCCACAGGAGCCAAGGTCTTCTTCTCGCGATACTCTGGTGACAGCTAGAGAGCCCATTCTCGCGGGATTTCCACAGTCCGGCTTGGAAGTGGCGGTGGGCTGTGGAGGGAAGCTCGACCCTGAGGGGGAGATTAGCTGGGACCTGTGCCCGCCTCCGGTTCCCCACCGGCGGAGGGGCCCGCGTCGACGAGGGGAGCGCCATCTCGCCAGCCTCACCCAGTGCCCCGGCTCGGACGCCGCCGACCCGCTCGGCTGGGTCCTCTGACCCCCTCCCGGCCCCGCGAGGGGCTTGGGGGCGATGCGCGGAGCGCGGCTGGCGGTGGCGTGGGCCGCAGCTGGCCCGCCCGCCCGCCAGGGGTTCGGTGCCGCCGGGCTGCCCGGCTCCGGCCCCCGGCCCGATGGATCCGGAGGCCCCGAGGTCGCGCGCGGAATCCGCCCGCAAAGGTATAGGCTCCGCGCTTGCCGCCGCGGACACCTGCCTGCGGCGTCGCGCCCGCGCCCCCGGCCGAGGCAGAGCGCTATGCTCCCTGGAGTGACAGCTGCCAGTCCGAACCCCTTTAGGGCTGGGACCCATTCAGCGATTCAGGGTGGTGGACCTGGCCTCTGCAGTCAGACTCCCTGCAGCACTGCCGAGCCACCTGGCGCAGTGTCCCCGTCTGTGAACTTGGCGTCAGTGCCGAGTTTTTGTGATTGTTAAATTAGACGGGTGTCTGCAGAGCTTTATGCGATTGCCCACGTGGTGCCTAGACGTCATTCTTCATCAGTGTACGCCCCGTGCCGGGCAGGGGGGTCGTTAAGGAGAGGGGCGAAGGTTGCGATATTTGTTTAGTTCGCTTACTTTTATTGCACAGTTTTAATACGTGCTGTGTTGAGGCAGGGGTTTATATGCTGCCACAAGTCGTCGGGGAGGTGTTCTTGTCCCTAAATTAGTAGCTTACCACATATTGAGTGTTTTTTCTGATTGTTTATCGACTCGCTTTTCCGTTGAGTAAGGTGTTTATCTCATTAAATAGATGAGGAATTGAGGGGTAAGTTTCAGGAAGGACAGTGCCAGCCTGAACTCTGAGGGCTGGGATTGTTGACATTGTCCTTCAGGGTCCTCTAGTATGTATACACGTATGCCTATAGGAGTCTGCAGGTAAAACCAAACAGATGAAGCTGCTGAGCAGAGATGGTCACTGGGATGCTCATTTGCAGTGAAATCTAGTCACTTGGCTATTTAGGGAAGTGCCAGTGGAAGGAACAGAAAGCTTAGGGGCCCAGGGGTGGGAGCCTGCTTGTCATATTCCAGTAGCAAGGAGGGTGAATCAAAGAGGGCGAGAGAACAGATCATGGTCTAGCATTACTTCCAGTCCTCCGTTCAGTCCAACAGGAAACCCTCCCAATTGACAGTTTGTTCTGGAGTCTGGATAGTGAGAGATTCCTCCCTAGCTCAGACCCTATCTGTTTAGTTCTAGAAATTATCCAAACTCAGGAAGCAGAAAGATACCCATAAGTTATGTGATGCCCTTCACGGTTTTTTTTGCACATGCTATACCACTTGGGACACATTTCTTAGACCCTCCCCCCCCCTTTTTTTTTCTTTGAAATTTCATGTTGAGACAGGATGTTGCTTAGGTTGCTAAGGTGATGGTGATGTGCATTAGGGCAAAGGTCACTAAGCTACTGCCCACTCACAGACCAAATCTAGTCTGATGCTTCCTTTTGTAAATAAAGTTTTATTAGAACTCAGCCCCATTTGTTTATTATCTGCAGTTGTTTTTGCCTTACAGTGACTAAAGAATGTATGCCCTCAAAACTTAGAGTTAGCAAAAAAATAGCTAATATCTGATTCATTACAGATATTACAGTTGGCTAGTATTTGCTTTAGAGTGATGGTGGCATGGGAGGAAAGTGATATTTTTGAAGTAGAACCAGAAAGATTCTGATGGATTGGATGTGGGAGTAATATAAAAAGAGGATTAAGGGTTGACTAATTGTTTTCTACCTTGAAAAGTTAATGATCCCAGTTAATCAGATGCAGAAAGACAAGTCATCATTTTTTACATTAATTTTTCTCTGCTTTATACCCATTGTAAGACAATGTCTAGTGAATAATTGCTGCTTCAATCATATGTTGAACAATAGATAAAGAATTAAGTCTTAAAAAGGAGAAGACATTTGCTAGGTAGACAACCTACATCAATCAATGTGTTAAGAGTTGTAGTAAGGGAACTCTAGGTTTTAATTCTCAAACAGCACTGTTGTTAAAACAAGACCCACTGACCCATTTGCTGTTTTACCCTTACAGTAGATCAGAGTGTTAATTTCACATTAAAACTCTGTCTTTCAGAATAGTGTAACAGTTCTCAGTTTGGATTGAAAGATTAGTAGAAACAGGTTTTTCCCTGCTTACTTATGATTGCTGTGATAAAACCACCTCACCAAAATTAATGGGAATTATGGCTTTACTTTTGAGGAACAATTGATGAAAAATATCATTAGGAGTTATTCTTGCTTAAGACAATATAAACGTCATATTATGATCATGGATGTTATGAAAATCTAATTAGAGATCATTAGGAAGACTCTAGGAAACTACTTATCTTAATGAGAAATGTGTAAGAAAAATAATTCTTAATATTCTTGTGATTATAGTCATATAATACTTTGGAATCTTGCCGTAGAAATTCCATTTGGAGGGGGTAGAGAGAGAAGAGGGGAGGGGAGGGGAGGGGAGGGGAGGGGAGGGGGGATAGTAGAGGATAGGAAAGGCAGCAGAATACAACAGACACTAGTATGGCAATATGTAAATCAATGGATGTGTAACTGATGTGATTCTGCAATTTGTATACGGGGTAAAAATGGGAGTTCATAACCCACTTGAATCAAAGTGTGAAATATGATATATCAAGAACTATGTAATGTTTTGAACAACCAACAATAAAAAATTTAAAAAAAAAAACATTTCAAAAAAAAAAAAAGAAATTCCATTTGGAAAAATTTTTACTTAGCTTCCTTTATTTGGTACCTTTCAAATTGTACTAATAGTATACTATATCAAGAACTCCTCTCCATTCACAGTGCTGTATCTTCAGGATGGAAAATAAACAGTTCAGCACAGGATAAGTTCACAAATATAGAGATCAGACTCCTCAAAGAATAATAAGGTGTTAGAGAACTTAGAATTCATTTCCTAAAAACCTCACTATTTGAAACCTAGAAGGGAAAAGGTTGTGACAAAGCTGTAACATCACCCTGTAATTGGAGTTTCCCTTGTCTAGTTGAATACCAATTGGAACAGTGGTTTAGAAGCAACAGTATTGACCGTGAAAAGAAGCACCTGTCTCCAGAGAAAGGAGGTGGGAATAATTTAAAAAGATGCAGACAGATGAACCACAGAAACATTGCTGTCCAAAGGATTTAGCTTACTTTTTACCAAGTCCTACTCAATCTTACTCTGTCATATCATGAATAATATATAATGTTCATGAGTCAGTAGGAGTAGTTAAATCAGTGGTTCACCCTGGCTGAACATCAGTCTCATATTTGAATTCAACAATAACAATGAAACAAAATAATAAAACCAGATGCCCATGACCCATATGTACTGAATCAGAATCACCAGGGGATTATGGCATATCACCAGAATAAGAGTGACAGGAAGTGAATTATATGCCCTTTGTTTATTATAGGACATCTGATAATATATTTTAGGAAAATATCTACACATAAATATATTTTACTTTGTTTCAGTTATTTTAAAAAGATTTTTGGATTCTTTTTTTTCTCATAGTAGTGGATAAGATGTTATTTATAAGCTAGATCTGAAAATTTTCTTTTCTTTATTATTGTAGACAGGTGGCTTCCAGGAGAAAGATGTCTTGCTCCTTCTCCATATGATGAAAAACTTTGTGAAGCAAGCATAAAATCTATCACAGTGGATGAAAATGGCAAGTCATTTGCTGTTGTCTTATATTCAGATTTTCAAGAAAGGAAAATACCTCTTAAAAGACTTCAAGAAGTAAAATCTGCTAAAGGTTGCCCCAGGAGTTTTATATTTGATGATGAAGATTTGGAAAAACCATTTTTCCCAGACCGAAAATTTCCATCATCTGCTAATGCCTTTAAATTATCTGAAGATGGAGATTCTATTCCTTATACCATTAATAGGTATTTGAGAGACTACCAAAGGGAAGGAGCTCAGTTTCTCTATGGACACTACATCCAAGGAAGAGGATGTATTCTGGGTGATGACATGGGACTTGGAAAAACAGTTCAGGTATTTATTCTAATTAGATTATAATTAAACTTCAATAATGTCATTATATTATATACAGGAGTGGATTCTGTGTGCAAATCTCTATTTGTACTACCATCATGATGGATATTTGTGTGTGTACATGTGTGTGTGTTTGTTTTTGTCTCACCAACTGGACAGAAAAATCTCAAAATTGACTGTTTCTATTTTATCTTCAATACCTATTTAGTACCTTTGAAATATTTTTGGCATTAGTTGACTTTGGTATTATTTTACCTGTGGTAATATTTACATTATATTTATATAAATTAATATATACTAATATGTATTGATATATATTAATATTTATATTATATCAATTATATTTAATATAAACTTTCTTAATAATACTTTAGGAAGGAAAGAATTCTACATTTGGTATAGGACATGGCATGATTTGCTACAGGTCTTTTATGCATATCATTTTGAGTTTCTCATATCAGAAGTTTCCTGATCTGTAATGTCTGAACTACTTAGGCAGTCAACTGATGGACATTCCCTTAAATGTATACTGGAGTTTGTATATTGTGTACTTTTCATAGAGGGTATTTTGTTAGTTTTATGTTGGTGTAAACCAAATTACCCCCAAATTCAGCGGCTTAAAACAATACACATTTATCACCTCATAGTTTCTGTGGGTCAGGAGTCTGTGTGCAGCTTAGCTGGGCCCTCTGGCTCTGCCTCTTGCAGGCTGCTATCTCACGTTGACCTGGGAGGATGCGCTTCCTAGCTCACAAGGGTGTTGGTAGGATTTGGTTCCTTGTGGCTTGTGGGACTCAGGCCTCCCATGCTTCTTTGCTGCTTGGACCTTGTTACGGAACATCTCACAACACATAGCTTGCTTTATCAGGAGAAGCAAGTAATAGGGCAAGAGAGAGTGCTAGGAAAATGGAAGTCATGGTCTTGTGACCTAATTACAAAAATGTTGTCCCCTCCTTTTGCCACTTTCTGTTCACTGGAAGCAAGTTGCTAATGCCACTTCAAGCTCAACTAGAGGAAGGTTGTGAATACAGAGAAGTGGGGATTGCTGGGAACTCTATCAGAAGCTGCCTGCCACAGGCTCCTTAACTTAGATGTTCAAAGAGGTCTGTGATCCAAAAGGATGGATTCGAGTTTTGAATCTGGACTTTATGCTGAACAGTCACCCTGGGTTTTCAGAAGTCACCCAGATTTTCACTCTGGGTTTGTCTAGATTGTGATGAAGGCCTTCTGTGTTTCCTTCCTAATTGAAGTTGTGCTATTTTATTCAGTGATACTTCCATTGGTTAGTGGAGCTTAAAGGTAAGTGAAAAACTCAATTTAACATTTAAAAACAGCCTAGTCATGCTACTGTGTATGAGGTTTTGGTGTGAAAAGGTAGGCTAAAATAAAATCCTCCAATAGTCACAGCATGTTTTGCTTTTAGCCATCCTCTGTGTTTCTTTACACCCAGGCAATGAAGGTGGTTTAGGCCTCCACGGGAGGTGCTGAGTTGTTTGTGGGATGAGTGAATTTGTTTCCTTGGGAGGGTAGATGACAAGAATAAAGAAAGGAACCTTCGGGATGTGACCAAGATAAGTGGAGAAGTTCTAAAGGAAAATAAGTAAAGAAAGCTCTGGTGTGACTAACTTTACATATACTTGTACTGTTTTGCATGTACTAGAATGTTCTTTACTATTCTTTGACTAATCAATGCGTGTGCATCTTCAAAATCAGAAACGTGATGGTATTATAAAAAGTGACCATCTAAAATGAATACAATTCAAATTGAGCACATTTAGCCTCAAATTAGAAGCTCATCTTTCATGCCCAAGCCCATGTTTACAAAGAAATTCCCTTTATTTTCCATTTTACAGAATTATTTTTAACGGCTGATCTTACTGCAGAGTTGCTGGTTTCCTTGGAAGGCTTTGAGCAGCTGTACTCTGTGCCATGAAAGTCTTAGGAAATAGTTTTTGTACTGATTTGATACCAGGCTGGATTTGTCTGATCCTTTGGGACTCACTTCTTTGATTATTGTTGTAACTTGGAGAATAATTTCTACATAAATAGGCCATTTGGCAGAGCTTCTACAGATATAGATTAGATATAGATATAGATATAGATTGAGCCAATTGAAGAAATGTGGACAATAGTTTATGAGTTCATTCGAATTTCAAAATAGTATAGAATTGGGTAATGAAAATAGACCAGCGGCATTTACTATTTTGACTATGGTTCTGTCTTCTTTTCTTCTTCATCCCCTGGTCCCTTTTCCTAATTTTAGCCTCTAAGTTTTCTCCTTTTTATTTTCAAACTTGGTCATAGAATTAAATTAAACTTTTTTTTGAGATGAGGTATCACTACATTCTCCAGATTATTCTAGAACTCCTGGGCTGAAGCAATCCTCCTGCCTCAGCCCTCTGAGTAGCTGAAACTATAGGCACCCAGCTTTTTTCTAAAGCTTGTTTTACATACCAAATAGTGTCTTTCCCTTATTTTAAATTTAAGAGTAGACAAATTTGATATTTTGTATTCCACCAGGGCTGAGGATTGAAAAATGTCCATTTGGTGTGGTGACAAAGAAGTCATTAGTATCTTCAGCAAAAGCTATTTTGCTGGAGTTTATGTTAGTTTTATATTGAGTAAATGAAAACATGGAAAGGAGAAGTGTTCTTACCTCTTTAAGAAATGTGACTTTGTGTACTATAGTGTCACAGCCACATCAGTGTTTATATAGCAGCTCAATTCACAATAGTTAAGCTATGGAACCAACCTAAGTGCCCTAGACAGATGAATGGATAAAGAAAATGTGGTACATATACACAATGGAATATTACTCAGCCATAAAGAGGAATGAAATTATGGCATTTGCCAGGAGATGGATGGAACTAGAGACTATCGTGTTAAGTGAAATAAGCAAATCCCCCGTAAAACAAAGGCTGAATGTTCTCTCTGATATGCGGATGCTGACTCACAATGGGGTGTGTGGGGAGAAGTGACAGGACGTTCACCAGATTGAACAGGGGGGAATGGAAGCACAGGAGTGGGGATGGGAATGGGAAAGAGAGCAGAATGAATTGGACGTCACTTTCCTATGTTCATATATGAATACATGACCAGTGAACTCAATATCATGTACAACCACAAGAATGGGAAGTTATGTTCCATGTACATATGATGTCAGAATACATTCTACTGTCATGCATAACTAAAGAGAACAAATAAGAATAAAAAGAAATGTGACTTTGGAAGGGGACAGGAGTGACCTAGTAGCAGTTGAAGGAAGTGGTGTGGGATTTTAAGGGAGTTTCTTCTTTGTGGTTTTATTTTTGTGGATCAGACATTCTTAAGTATTTTTTAAGTGAATTGAAAGGATCTAGTTAAGAGGGAATAGTTGAATATGCAAAATACATAAAAATATGTATACATACACATATAGAAATTAACAAAAAGTAGAGTTGCATGATCATTACTATTTTATAATCAGCTTTTTTTCTATGTTGTTGAAGGTTCTAAACTGATTTTTTCCCCAACATCTTATCCAACTTTTCAAACAAAAAGAAGAGTTAAAAGAATTGTGCAATATAGCTATATATCAGCTGCCTAGATTTTGTTAACATTTCATTACTCATGGTTTTATGACATACCTATCCATCCATCAATCTATCTTTTGCTACATTTTAAAGTGGCAGACATCTGTATATTATATCCACAAACACTTAAGTATATATTTCATGAACTAGAGTTCAATACTTTTAAGTAACCTCTGAGGAATAGTTGCCTAAAATTAAAGTGAATATATATAAGGAGTGAATATATATATATTTTTAATGCATATATCATTCACATATATTTCAATGTATGTGTGTTTATGTGGGTGCCTGTCTTTAAATAAAATATGATTACAAATCATAAAAAGGAAAGATCTTCAATATACTGTTCAAGGAGTTTTGAAGTGTATATGTCTGGTAACCAATATGTTGATCAAGATACAGAATGATTCTTGCATTCTACAAAATTTACTTATGTCCCCTTCCAGTCAGTACTCTGGTTACCTGAACTTTTCATTACATGTTGACTGTGATTCAGTGTTAAATTATATTCCAAGATGTTGTTAGAGTCCAAAATGTTATGAATATTTATATGAAGAAATTCAATCACTTCTAAGCTTCAGTTACTTATTTTTGAATGTAAAATTTTGAATGTAAAACTTTAAGCTTAACTGATTCAAATACTTACAAAGTGTAAATTCTGAGCATGTATCAAAGATCTTTTTCTTGGGTGATATTAAAAATATTTAAATTGTCTAATGCTTAAATAAGGTTATTTGCCTCCTTTAATTTATGTCAGCCAATTTGTTCACATTAATCTCTCCTTGAATTATTTAATAGATGTTTATTTTGTGTTCTTTTGTTTACTTTTTCCTACCCATGCCCCTTCAGTGTATATTCTCACCACCTTTTTGTTCCTAACCCCTCAATCAGCTGAATTTCACATTACTGAATCAATCAGAATAGCCTATTGTCTAGACTTTTCCAGCACCCAACACAGTGCCTGTCATGTACTAGGGAGTAAATACAGTTTTATTAAAGCATTAATGAATTTTAGATTGAATTGGGTAATGGTATGGTTCTGTGGTTATCACTTATATTTAATTATGTGCCAGGGTTTTTAATGGACATTTTTCATTGAACATTTGTATTAATTAGGTATTATTGCCTCTATTTTATTGATGAGAAAGTAAAATTCATAGAGCAGTTATATAAATTGCCCATGGTCACATAAATAGTATAAGGCTGGTTGGTCAAACTCTGAAGTTTTGCTTAACTCTTGCAAATTAAAATGCAAATTTTGTTAGACTGTTTTAAGGCTCAGGATAAGATTTGACCATTCTTGGTATATCATTATTTTGTAATCTTTTTGACAGCATAATTTCCTCAAAATCTACTATATTATAACACTTAAGATTATGTATAGGGAACCAAGTTTCCTTACTTTAAAGGAATGATACTACAAAAATA